TTGATGGCTCATTTGAAGAAATGTATCAGGTATGGAGTCTTCCTGTACCTTATGAAGTTGTTTTGCTCAGCAGGTGGCTGTTTAGGATTACCGGCGGTCAGCTGAAGCTCATCGACAGGTTCGGAACTATGTGAAATCCTGGGTAAAACCTGGAATGACGATGATCGATATTTGGTGGGCTTACATATTACCTCCTAACATGTAATACAGTTACGGGCGCAGTTTGGTTCGGTTAGGGGGGGAGGGGGGCAGTGGTACCTAGCTAGGCTTGTACAAGCCACCTTGTGAATACCGAATTCCCGTAACCAAAGTGGCTCACTTTTGCCATTTACCATTTCGCTACTTCCTAAGTGTTTACAAGTGTTAACCTGTGGAGTCTTGGGACACCACGTTAGTTAACATGTCCTAGCAAGAGTAACAAGCAAAAGTGCATGATGCCCCTTCCAAGCCAAACAGCGCCCAATTATATTTTCCTTTTCGACCACAACGAATAAGCAGCTTAAGTTAAATGATTACGTTCTTTGAGCGTAAATGCGAAACTCAGCTGTGATGGATGTTTTTCAGAGACAACTGTTTAGGCTGTTATACTTCGTATTGAAAGTGTTGTTTATAGTGAGCGTCTGGAGGCCTGCTCTCGTCATCTGATAAAAGAAAACGGGCTTGAAGCCGGTCTCGCCTTTCCAACTGGTTGCTCGTTAAATAACGTTGCTGCTCATTATACTCCAAACAATGGAGATACTACTGTTTTACAGTATGGAGACGTTTGTAAGGTATGTGAGAATGTCCCTGGTTGCGCCCACCATCTGTCTGGTCCTGACGCGATAGCCAGTTTTGTTTCTCATTGTCTATTTAAGATTGACTACGGTGTACATGTACGTGGACGACTCATTGACAGTGCGTTCACTCTTCATTTCGATCCACGGTATGATAATCTGGTGAATGCGGTCAAAGAAGCGACAAATGCCGGAATTCGTGAAGCTGGGATAGACGTGAGGTTGTGCGATCTGGGAGAGACTATCGAAGAGGTAGGCCTTCTACAGGGTGAATACCGTTACTCACGACAAATTAGACTGGCTCCATCAGCCCCGTAGCTGCGATTTTTTTATGTACTCACCAATTGTATGTTTTCAGGGAAAAAGCTTCAGACTCATGTTTATGTTCAGGTTATGACGTCACATGAAGTAGAACTTGATGGACGTACATACACTGTGAAGCCAATTCGGAATCTGAATGGACACTCGATTGGAAATTACCGGTGAGTTGTCGGCTAAAAGTTAGTAGTGCAATATCGTGGTTGCCTAAAAGAGTAAACGTTGCTTAGCTGTTGAACTAGGTCCTCAAGTTCAATTTCAGTAGAACAAGACCTAGATTTTACAGAAAACGAGCGCGGTTCCGGCTTAATGGGGAAGCAGTTTTGAGCCCTCTGCTACCGTTTCTTTTTGCTAGTTCATGTCAACTAATAGGTTGTGCTTTGATGAAACCTGAAAATTCCTGTGAAACTGGAAATGGTAGAATTGAGCTTGGTGGCATCTACAGGTTTCCACAAGGGACCTGTTGATGCTTCATTGAATACCATTTCGTGATCCCACCAAGCCGAACGCGCACAGAAATGTTCAAAACTTGAATTCGTCCACTCTCACATATTATCTTGCAGGATTCATGCTGGAAAAACAGTGCCGATTGTGAAGGGTGGTGACCAGACAAAAATGGAAGAAAACGAGGTACCATTTTTGAATAGTTCAGTTTGTGAGTGCTCCCAGTAGTCTATTTTTATGACAACCATTATATTCCATTTTCAAACGAGCACCCAATTTTTCCTCGTTACTTACCACTAGTAGTGTGTGATCCTTCGTATTACTTGCTTTTTTCCCCCTCGTATTTCCCTTTTTTTGGGAGAGTTATAAATCTCTGTGAAATTCCGTTCGCCTGCAGAGAGTAACTGAGATCGAGTACCATGCATAGATCGATATGACTCACTGAAAACTACGTGGAGACCTTTTGCTGGTGACTCTGCTGGAGCTTAATGAGGAAGAAGAGGCGTATCAATGACGCGTTTGCGGTCATTTTGCCGCCCCGAGTGTGTATTCAAGTTCACGTTGCAGCTGAGGGAAATAGAAACGAATGATGGCGCAGTTTGACGAAGGGGGCATTTTGTACTATCACTTCCCTAGTTCCGGTTTACAAGTCCACTCTGGCGAAAACTGTGAAGCTGGAGCAAGCTCATCTAGCCATCATGGTAAAACCTGTCAACTCGAGAAGAGCCTCCCCAGATAGGTCGCAGAAGTAGAAGTGCAAAATGTGTCCCCTCCCCCCCCCCTCGTCAAACTATCCCACGATTGATTTCGTACTGTCGATCGCACGTGTACTGGAAACGAGCAGTATGAGCAGCTATGAACTCATGCCACTCGCCTTTGTAGTGCAGAGCATCCAGTTACCAGTCTGACTCAAATTGAATAAGAGATCTCAACACGTTCCGGACCGCGTGACACACATGGTGTGTCATGCATTTGCCCCTATGTGCGTTTTGTTTGATTATTCTGACTTTTCTTTCATGTTCTGTTGTTGCGAAAACACGTTTTCTAATATCAACATATCCTTCCTCATAAGCGATGAAAAGAGGGAGGGAATGCGCAATACGGTGGCCCGCAATGTGTTCAACAAGGTTATTAACACATTGCGGACCGCCACTTGGCCCGCACCTCCGGCATTTTATCATTTTTCATAAGTTATTCATCAGTAACTTCCTTTTTCGAATCGCTTACGGGATACGTGTCTTTCATAACCTAGAATGTGTTTTCACATCACTGGAACATGAAATGAGAGCCATATTTCAATAAAACACCGTATAGAGACAAATTTATGACACACCATGTGTGTCACGCGGTCCGGAACGTGTTAATGTCATGCCAGGTCCTAACCAAAGCTGAGCTGTTCTTGCTGAACTCAGTTGTCGGCGGAGGCGGAGGTGGTGTAGTGACAAGTGGCGCGCTTACTCGCGCGGCGCCGGGTTCGAATCCCGGGTCGACACCCGCCCAGGCCAACCAAGCCTTCTACCCTCCGGGGACGGTAAATTGGTACCAGATTCGTCTGGGAGGATA